TCCTAGAGTGACATGCCACCAGTAGGTGGCAGCTCTTTCTTTGCTCAGTCCCACAGAAGGTCTGTCTTAGACCCAGTCTGGATGCAGTCAGGTCTGAAGTACCAAGCTAGCCCTTGCTCTTTTCTCTATATATTTCTCTGGTCAGAGCTAAGACTCTGGACCCTTGATGGTGAGAGTCTTCTTGGGCCCACTTCAACCAACAGAAGCAACTTTCACTCACTGATCACAACAATGAAAAGGTTCCTGAAGTGGGCCTTGGAGAGAGAGTACAGAAGGCAGGGCTACCTACTGTTGGATCCCTAGCACTCTATATGGTCTCCCTTGAACACATATATTTTTTGCTTATCTTTATGTTTTTTTGCTTGCTTTTTCTACTTTCTACTCGGAGAAGCCCACGCTGCCCTCTGAGTATGTATTCCTTTCTTTCTCTCCCGGTGATGCACAGAGGTTACTCCTGGCTCATGCACTCAGGAATTACTCCTGGCAGTGCTCGGGGGACCATATGGGGTGCTGGGAAACAAACCTGGGTTGGCCGCGCGCAAGGCAAATGCCCTACCCGCTCTGTGATCGCTCCATCCTCCGTCTTTCTCTCCTCTTAACGTCTAAGTTTTGTATAATAAAAATCTTTCAGGATCGGCATGATAGTACGAGTAGGGTGCTTGCTTTTCACGCACCCAACCAGGGTTCGATCCCTGGCATCCCATGTTTCCCAAGCCCTTCCAGGAGTGATCCCTGAGCACAGATTTAGGAGTGAGCCTTGAGCAGCACCAGACAACAACAAAAAACTGTCTTGCCTTTTGAACTGGAGTGACAGGACAGCAGATAGGGCACTTACTTCCCTTGCACACAGTCAACCCAGGTGATTCCTGGCACATCATACGGTTCCCCAAGTACCACCAGGAGTAATTTCTAAGTGCAGAGTCTCTTAGGGGGTAGCCCAAAACAAAAACAAATATAAAACAACACGCACACACGTACACAAAAAAACCCTATCTTGTTTTTAAAAAGAAAACCACACCCAGTAGTGCTCAGGGCTTAGTCCTGGCTCTGTGCTCAGGGATCGCTCCTAGAGGGACTCTGGAAACCATATACAGGGCTGGGGAGCAAATCGGGGCCAACTGTGTACAAAGCAAGCACTCTACATGCTGTACTCTCTCTCTCGTCTAAAGCTGATCTTTTATCAACACATCAAGACACGGTAATGCTCATTTATTTTTCATCCACAAGGGGATCGAAAAGTTCTCCCGAAATTCTGCTTTTTGTAGTTTGGGGACTATTCACTCACAAACCTTTTGATTCAGAGAGGGCTCTGAGAGAGATAAGCCTCTGGGAAATGCTTGAGTTGGTAGAGAAGTAAAGGGAGATCCTCAAAGGACGGCATCACTTCTCTGCCAATGCCTTCAATGCTTCTCCTTCAAAGCGAAAGGAATGCCACCCCTCAGCTTCAGTCAGGTCATGGGCTCCTAGGGTCTTATATAAATCCATGGCCCTCTTGTTCCAGTCTAGGACTGCCAGGCGGAACTGGGAACAGCCCTTGTCGAGAGCCACCTGTGGAATAAGTCATCATTTAATTTCAAGAAGTCAAAAACAGTAAAGTATTGGGGCCAGAGTGATAGTACAGCAGATACAGTCCTTGCTTTGCATACAGCCAGTCCAGATTCAATCCCTGGCATCCCATATGGTCCCATCCAGGAGCCCACCAGGAGTGATCCCTGAACACAGAGCCAGGAGTAACCCACAGCATCACTGGGTGTGGGAAGAAGGAGGAGGTAGGAGGAGGAGGTAAGAAGAAGGAGGGAAAGGGGAGGGAGAGGAGGGAAATGGAGGAGGGGGAGGAGGAGGAACAGGAGGAGGAGGAAGAAGCAAGGAGAAAGAGAAGAAGGAGGAGAAGAGGAGGAGGAGGAGGGGGAGGAGGAGGAGGAGAGCCAGAGGGAGAGGGAGGAGAGAAAGAATTTTTTTCTGCTATTCTCATAGTCTCATCATCACTGTTCTCCTGAGTGCCTTCCATACACCTTCATATATTCAGGGTCCAGCATGAGCCTCATCCCTCTTCTCACCTTAGCCACCTTTTTGATTATTCTGGAACCAATTCCTTGACCTGTTATGAGAAGAGAGGCAAAAAAAGAGGGGTTGTTTGTGGGCCAGATCAAAGGCTGAAGCACATGCAGAGGCACTGAGTTTAATCCCCGGATTCAGATGCTCACCACCAGGTAGCTGCCAGCACTACTGGGCCTAACCCCCCTGAGCACTACTCAGAAGCTGCCCTCAAATTAAAGAGGTGAGGATAAAGGGGGAGGGGGGCTTGGAACTCTGCTTTTTCCCACGCCTGATTTGGCCTCTGTGCCATACCTCGATGCTCTGGCATCACATAGATGTCTTCCAGGTAAATGTTTCTACCCTTCCAAGTGCTATAGATGAAATAATACAATCCAAAGCCCACCACACAAGGTCCTGAGAAAAAGGGGGAAAATGAAAAGAAAAAAAGGGGGAGGCTGAGGCCACTGGCCTCCAAGGATGGCCTCTGAGGATGGTCGGGGCAGGGTATGGTTCTTACCCTGTGTGACACCAGGTACGGGAAGAAACTCCGCTACCAGACAGTGGTAGAAAGGATTTTCTCCAAAGCCATCTGCTCTTAGAGCTGCAGATTGCAATTGAGACCAAGACAGTGAGGGCCTGCGGTGCGAGGTCAGGCTGAAAGTAGGCTGGGGAACCCCCCCCAACCTGCCCCCAGCCTCTTCCTCAGTCCCCGAGAGCGGGCCCACCTTCTTCGCTGATCTTCACCTGATCCGAGAGTTTCTCGTACTCAGCTAGTTCCTAGGACGCGTGCACAGTTAGGCTAGGGCGGGGGCCCCGCTGCTTCAGGGCTGCGCGTCCCCGTCCCCTCCCCCACCCCTGCTCCGCCGGGTTCCGCCCGCAGCTTCACCCGGATGAGTCTCAGGATCTCGCCACAGTCTCGCTCCGTGGCCTCTCGGATCCTCACGGAGGCCATCCTGATTCGGTCTGGGGCCGAAGTCCAGTAGCCCCCACTTCCGTTTCGCAGGACCCGGCGAGGGGCAACTGGGAGCTTTTAACGGGCCTACCACACCAGGAGCCCAGCAACCGCGGACAGAGGAGCAGTTCTGCAAAGTTGACGTGGTCTCCAGCTATCGACCGGCCGCAAAATAATGGGCGAGGGGGTCTTCTCCCCAGGGGGAATCCTAAACTTCGGCTCCTGCCTAAGCACCGACCAGCCAATCAGCGAGCGGCCTCTCCACGTCCCCGCCCCTTGGCCCAGCCCCTACTGGCGGGTCCCGTGACCCGGCGCGTGGGCAGGGGTCAAGGGGGATTTTCCAGGATCCGTAGCTCTTCCCATCTGTACTGGAGAAATACCCGTGGCTCAAATTTCACTGCTTACTTCTTTGACATATACAGTGATTTCTGCTCTACCCAGCACTCCGTGTGATCAAGCCCATCCAGACCTCAGGTGAGTCCGAAGCAACCAGCACAGACGCTGTTTTCTAACGCTCTTGTGTGGCGCCAAGTGTTACTCCTGTCGGGACGCTTATATTCAAAAGGGGGTCAGGGAGCCAGAGGGATAGTACAGCGGGTAGGGCGCTTGCCTTGCACATAGCCAACCTGAGTTCCAGTTCTTGGCATCTCATATGGTCTCCAGAGCACTGTTGGGAGTAATGGCTCAGTGTAGAGTCACAAGTAACCCCTGATCATCACCGGTGAGGCCCCAAAACCAAAAAAAAGTGGGGGGGGACCAGGAGATGATGATGCAACTTTATTGGTAGATAGCTGAGGCTGAACCTTGCAGTAAATGGTTAAAGGAAATAATTGAATGGGGGTAGTCACTTTTTAGTAGCCACTAAATCATACTCCAGAGACAGTGCATCTCTGTGCTACAGAGCCCAGAGACCTGGAAGAGTACTGAGGGCAGACCTCAGAGCAGATTGTTGGGCATTTGCTTGCATTATCTAAATTAGTCCTCATTGCCTTCACCCAGCTAGCTAATAATAATAAAAGGATTTTTCACACTTTTAACAAATAAGGGCACCAGACACAAGGGTGTTGTGGCTTGCTCACATTCCCTCTCCTCCCTCGTCCCCCGCCCGCAACCCAACTGGATATGGGGACAGGCAGCTGTGGAAAAGAAGCTGGACAGGACACTGGTGAAGGATGCTACTTAGGAAGCAGAGTAAGACTGTATCAAGCCCTCAGTGTCTGCAGGCAGACTCCCTAGCTGGACAGAATACTTGAATTCAGGTCAGATCCTCAAGGAGGAGAAAGGAAATGGGGTGTCTGTTTCCAGCGCCTAGACTTTCTCAGCCACGGAGGAGGGTATGGAGAAACTGTCTCTCCTCCCTTTGTCCTCAGAGTGGCCACAGGGTCAGTTCCCCTATCTCCTGCCCCCCATTCCCTCTGGGGCTACTTTTAACCTTCCAACAATCACGCTTAAGGTGGCCACCCCCATGTATTCACCCCAGAACTGTCTGAGCTCCTGAGAGAACTGATGCTGATTATGGAGCACAGGAACCCGCTAGTCACATCCTGGCTGCAGCTGCGGCTACAACTGCAGCTGTGGCTCCTGCTCCTGCTCCTTCATAGCCACGAGGGACAGACCCTGTGACCGTTCTTTCCACCCAGGAGTAGGAACTGGACAGGTGTGCGTTTCGATGAGTGGCACTTTGACTCTGCCTGCTTTCTTTTCTTCTTCAGGCCTGTAGCAATCCCTCTCCTGTCTCTGGCATGTCCTTATTCCAGCTTATTTTATTTACAGGCATTGTCCTTATTCTTTTTTTTTTTTTTTTTGCTTTTTTGGGTCACACCCGGCGATGCACAGGGGTTACTCCTGGCTCAAGCACTCAGGAATTACTCCTGGTGGTGCTCATGGGACCCTGTGGGATGCTGGGAATTGAACCTGGGTTGGCCACGTGCAAGGCAAACGCCCTACCCGCTGTGCTATCACTCCAGCCCTGCGTGTCCTTATTCTAACTTGTTTTATTTTCTCTTTCTGATGGACCCACGGCCATCCTACTGTGCACCTCAGCAGTGGTCCAGGACAAGAGCCTATTACCATCATGACCTTTAACTTTACAGAATCACAAGGTATGGGATTGACCTAAGCCTTTGACTCAGTCCCCTAATCCATCTTTCCTCTCTCAAGCCTTCTCTTCCCTTGTCTCTTGTGCCTCCTTCCTCCCAACCTGCACCCAGCCTATGCACAGAACTTTCTTCTATACCCTTCAGAGTCCCTTCCTCCTTTGAGATTCAAACCTGGATCCCGAAGGAGTGATCTTTTTTTAATTTTTGGGTCATACCTGGTGATGTTCAGGGGTCACTCCTGGCAGTGCTCAGGGGACCATATGTGATGCTGGGGATTGAACAGGTGTTGACCACATGCAAGATAAATGTCCTACCTGCTGTGCTATCGCTCCAGCCCCAGGAATGAATTTTATTTATTTTTTTAAATTTTTTTCTTTTTGGGTCACACCTGGCAATGCACAGGGGTTACTCCTGGCTCTGCACTCAGGGGTTACTCCTGGCGGTGCTCAGGGGACCATATGGGATGCTGGGAATCGAACCCGGATCGGACGCATGCAAGACAAACGCCCTACCCACTGTGCTATCTCTCCAGCCCCCCCCAAGAATGAATTTTAATGGTGACACCAACACAAAAGATGACTGGTTTATGCTGGGACTTTGGGATGGGAGACCTGCGATCCAACTGCACAATCCCTAGGACCAGCTTACAGTGGGCTCTGTACCCTAAGTGAATGACGAGTAGTAGTATCAGGTAAGCCTGATCTGATTCTGAGAGAAGCAGTGTTGTGTCTTGAGCTGGTTCAAGGAAGAGGATCAGACACACGTTAATGAATATTCTGCGACCACTGCCATTTCACTGAACCTGACAACACCCCCAGAAAGTTCTTATTCTTGTTTTCACTTTTTGTGTGTGTTTTGGGGCCTTACCTGGTGGTGCTCAGGGCTTACTCCTGGCTCTGCACTCAGGAATCATTCCTGCAGTACTCAGGGAACCATATGGGATGCTGGGGACTAAACTTGGGTTGGCTGCTTGCAAGGCAAGCCCATTTTCCATGGTACTATTGCTCTAGCCCTTTTGACTCCACTTTTTTAAGAGGGGAATTCTGAGACTCCAGAAGTCAGGCCAAAGTGATAGTACAGCATGTAAGGGTGTTTGCCTTGTTCACAGCTAAACTGGGTCCAATCCCCACCACCACATTTTGTTTCCTGAGCCCCGCCAGGAGTGGTCTCTGAGTCCAAAGCCAGGAGTAAGTCTGGAAGACTACCAGATGTGCCCCCCACCCCAGTTCAAACAAAAACAGTGCGTAGATGCTTAGAGAGATAGTACAGGGGTTAAGATGATTGTCTTGCATAAGGCTGACCTGTGTCATATCCTGGGTCTCATCCCCAAGCTCCACCAGGAGTAATCTCTGAGCATGGAGCCAGGAGTAAGCCCTAAGCACTGCAGAGTGTAGGCCCCTCTCCAACCCCTGCCCCTCACAAAAAATAAAAATAAAAAAAGACAAAAAGGTCTCTAAGGGCCAGGGTGTGAGTGAGCAAAGGATGATGGTTGATGCTTCAGGTGAACCATCTACTGTGCTCAGCTTTCTTCCAAGGAAGGGACAGAGGTAGGCCACGACCTCTGATTCTGCCTCTCTCCTTGCAGATGCAAGCAAAAATCCATGGGGACCCCTTGGTGCTGGAGGTGGAGGAGGAAGAGGTCATCTGCCTGAGACAGGTTTCTGGGCCTCTGACCAACGAACCCCAATCCACCATGAGGATTGCACTGGGTGGATTGCTCTTGCCTGTTTCCAGCCTCAGGCTGCCAGTAACTTTCTTGGGGGAGGATAAGCATCATGACCAAAGCAGGTGAAGACTTGCTGATGAGGGGACTTTCAAAACTAACCTTTGAGGAGGGGGAACGATAAGGGGAAGGTCAAATATGTGCGTTCTGGCTAAGAATAGGCCATGGGTTGGAGGTTGGGGCACCAGTGTCCTGATTCTGACCTCTCCACCCCCTCTCCCCTTCCCCATGCTATTTCCAGATGATCCCTGCGCTGAATAACTGCCTGGTTGGACCAATAAGTCCAGGCCTCAGCCTCTGCCCTCACTAGCTTCGGGAGCTATGCATTAGAGTTCTAGCCTTTCCCTCCAGAAACACAAGCAGAGTTCAGCCTTCAGGGAAAATGGCGTTTTTCTTTCCGGGTCAGCTCTAGAGAGCCTTTCTCGCTTCATCATGAGCCTGTTCACTTCTGAATCTCTAGCCTTGAGGCCTCATGAGATAATTTCTCCCTTAGACATTCCAAGACTTACGGGCCTTTTCTCTGGACCTGAGGCTCTAGCTTGCAGCAGATTCAAGCCACCTTCTTGCTCTGGGGACCCTGGAAAACCCTTCTTGGCTGAGCTTCCAATTCAAAGATCACGTAAGAGGAGGGCCTCTACCTGGATTCACTGGGGCCTGGGAGCCTTGGAATTGGAGGGATTGGAGGTTCAAAATGTCTTTGTTTAAAAAACTTAAGGAGTGCTCACTTCGGCAGCACATACACTAAAATTGGAACGATACAGAGAAGATTAGCATGGCCCCTGCGCAAGTGACATGCAAATTCGTGAAGCATTCCATATTTTTGAAGTCATAAAATTTACATACAAGTGGTACTACATGGGAAGTATCATGTTAAGTGAAATGAGTCAGAAAGAGAGGGATAGACATAGAAAGATTGCATTCATCTGGAGAACATTAAATAAGAAAATAGGAGACTAACACCCAAGAGTGGCCAAGATTAGTACCAGGAGTTTTGCTCCATGGCTTGGAGGCTAGCCACACATTCTAGGGGAAAAGGGAGCTCAGATAGAGAAAGGAGCACCAAATAAAGGGTGTTGGGAGGATCCTCCCAGGATGGGAGAAGCATGCTGAAAGTAGACTATAGACCAAACATGATTGCCACTCAATGCCTCTTTTGCAAATCACAACACCCAAAAGGAGAGAGAGAACAAAAGGGAATGCCCTGCCACAGAGGCAGGGTGAGTTGGGGGTTGCGGGGTGGGAGGGATACTGGGACCCGTGATGGTGGAAAATGGGCACTGGTGGAGGGATGAGTACTGGATCATTGTATAACTGAAACCCAAGCACAAAAATTTTAAGTCTACAACGGTACCTCATGGTGTTTCACTAATAAAAATTTCAAAAAAAAATTAATAAAAAAACTTAAGGACCAGGAACATTACGTATTTTAAAATTGCTAACAGTGGGGCTGGAGCGATAGCACAGTGGGTAGGACATTTGCCCTGCACGCGGCTGACCTGGGTTCGATTCCCAGCATCCCATTTGGTCCCCCGAGCACCGCCAGGAGTAATTCCTGAATGCATGAGCCAGGAGTAACCCCTGTGCAAAGCCGGGTGTAACCCAAAAGGAAAAAAATAATTGCTAACAGCAGGCAAACAGCTTTTACTTAGAGTGGGTGTGTACTTATACTCTGGTGCATATGATTTTACAAAAGGTCAATTCAGAAGAATTTAAGCAGGACTAAGGTGGTGGGGATTACAGTAGATGAAGGGTATGGCTCAGAAATCTACGGTTAGGGCCACAGGAGTCATCGAGGCTCATTTTTTTTCTCCTCTCCTTTATTTGTGTCTATATACTCTGTAGAAGTTGATGCTGTCTTCCAGGTCAAGACCCTCACGAAGTCTGCCCCTGGCCTTTGGACTTCCTGCTCACCTGAAGCTGAGTGGATCCAGGGTAGCCTTGAGCCAGGGATCACAGCACATCCTTGCTCTGCCTCCAATAGGGCTTGGCTCCTTCCTCAAGGGCCCAGCCTCAAGGGTGCCTGGTCCCAGGGCGTTATCAGGTAAGAGAGCATCATGTTCCAGTTCCACAGCATATCCTTGCAAACAACTAAATGTGGTGGGGTGAGGGGTCGAACTTGGAAAGAGGCACCTTTTTAGAGGAAGGAAATCTCTGGGTGGGAGTGGTTACAAAAACTAATGTTGGAGAAATGATGACGTAAAAAGGAATGCTGCTCCAGCTCTCCCCAGCGCCTTGTGTCTAATGCCCCTTCTAGGAGTGGCTTCTTCTGCTTCCTTTTGCTTGAATGGTCTTTCGGCACAAGGCCAGAAGCTGGACCTGGACCAGAACCTGAGCAAAAGTCATGACATCTGGACTCACAGCTTTCTCACAGCCCAGGCAATGATACCAACATTACCTATTAAATCCCCGTCTAATAACCTCCTTGGAGAGTTCTTATTGTGACTCATTAATTAATTGAACAGAGATACTTTTCGTGCACCTGCAATGTACCAGAAAGTTTGTTGAATTTGGGGTGACATTGATGAACAAAATCGTCCTCTTGGTGCTCGCAACCTCCTGGGGTGGGGCAGACATCCATCAAAGACCAATACCTGTGGGGCTGGAGCTATAGTACAGTGGGTAGGACGTTTACCTTGCAAGCAGCCGACCCGAGTTTGATCCCCAGCATCCCAGATGGTCCCCTAAGCACCGCCAAGAGTAATTCCTGATTGCAGAGCCAGGAGTAAACCCTGCGCATCGCCGAGTGTGACCCAAAAAGGAAAAAAAAAACTAATACATGAGTCATTGGCAACTCTGAGAAGCACCATAAAGGAGCAGTCAAGTGGGGCCAGAGCAGTAGTACAGCGGGTCGGGCGTTTTGCCTTGCACACGGCCCACCCAATCCCTGGCATCCCGTATGGTCCCCTGAGCACCACCAGGAGTAATTCCCGAGTGCAGAGTCAGGAGTAACCCCTGAGCATGGCTGGGTGTGACACAAAAAAGCAGAAAAAAAACCCCAATCAGGAATAGAGGAATAGCTGAAGCCCATACTTTGAATGTACGAGGCCCAGGTTCAATTCCTACCACCTGATTGATGGTTCCCTGAGTAACATCTGGAGGCCACGCCCTAGAGCCTTTAGGTGTGGCAGGGGAAAAAAAAAAATAAGGAGTAGTCAGGGAGTGGAGAAAACTTGAAGGCCAAGTCTGGGACCTAGTGTCCTACACCAGGACCAGGCATCTTCTGGGAGGCAGGAGCTCACGGCCTTCCTAGCATCTGGATCTGGGCAGCACAAGAGATGAAGAGGGAGGGAAAGAGAGGATGTCTCAGCACACCCCCTCTTTTTTTTTTCTTTTTGGGTCACATCTGGCGATGCTCAGGGGTTATTCCTGGCTCTGCACTCAGGAATCACTCCTGGCGGTACTCAGCGGACCACATGGGATGTTGGGAATCAAACCAGTTGGCTGCATGCAAAGCAGACACCCTACCTGCTGAACTATTGCTACAGCCCCATCACAGCTCTTTCAGACTGGCAGTTGCTGTCCAAGGAAAAAGCAGCAGGGGGCGTGAGCAGGTCATAGAGAGATGGGGCAGGGGTTCTGGGAAAAGGGGTGAATGAAGCAGGAAGGGGAAAGGGGAGAACAGAGGGGGGCAAATGCCCCTCCCTCTTATAATCTCAGCACACAAGCTGTGTTCTTGATGGATTGTGCCTCTATTCAAGTGGGGCTGGTTTGTGCTGGTCACGGAACAGGCAGATTCTAGATTAACTCTGTCCTCAAAGAACATAACGACAGGCTCCCATATCCAAACCTCTGAAGAATTATGCTGCTCCAGATCCTTCTTGTGGTACACTCCTGCCTCAGTCCCCAGCTTCCTGAAAAGCCCTCTTACTTAACTCCCAGCCTCTAGCTCCCAGCTCTATTGGGAATTCTCATGTCCTCACATAAAGCTTCCTGCCTGTAACCTTGGAGAGTCCTGGAGCCAACCCTCAGCCTCCACCTCTCATTCATACTCCTGTCAAGAACTGTTAACCCTGGGGCGGAGCGATAGTACAGCCGCTGACCCAGGTTCAATTCCCAGCATCCTATATGGTCCCTTGAGCACCACCAGGATTAATTCCTTAGTGCAGAGCCAGGCGTAATCCTTGTGCATCGCTGAATGTGACCCAAAAAGGAAAAAAAAAAAAAGAACTGTTAATCCCATCTCTAGACTCCTTGGGATCCCAGAATTTCTTCTTCACAATAGAGTGAGTTACTCACTGGACCTGCTGTCTCTTTCGGCTTACCCCAGTATGCAAGGCTTCCAGAAAGTCTTTTATGTAGAGAACACAAAGCTCAGACAACAATCTTGGTTTTTCCCTTGAGAACCTACATTTGCTTTCAAGTAATCAAACTGTTAGTAGGAGAGTGCTCAGCACACTCAGGGAACCTAATTCAAATTCTGCTTTGTGGATAATGGGTCAGGGTCAGCCAAGGTCACTTGTTTTCTTTTATATGTGTGTGTGTATTTGTTTTGGGGTCACACCCAGCAATATGCAGGGCTTACTTCTGGCTCTGCACTGAGGGATCACTCCTGGTGTGGGGCTATATGGCATGCCAGGGATCAAGCAAGGTTGGTCATGTTCGAGGCAAGCGCCTTACCCACTGTCCTACCACTGCAGCCCCATGGGTCACTTGGATCATATAATTCAACTCATAGGTACTGAGCCTGTATGGTACCAAACACTTGCTTAGACACTGAGAAGTTTAGACACAGCCTCTGTTCTCAGGAAGCTTACAAAACAGAGATTTGGGGAGCATGGGGGGCCAGCAGCTTATAACTAAGAAAACTGAATAAACAAGATCATTTCAGATAGAGGTTCTGAAAATCAGATCCTGTAATAGGACTAAAGAAAATTCGCATTCTAGTGAGAGAAGGTTTTGCTGAGGAGCAGACCTGAAAAATGAAAAGAAACTAGTCCTTATGGGCAACAGGTCTGAGGTGGAGGAGAAAGTGGTTAAAAGGGCTCAGACACCTGTAGGTTCTTCCCAAGGGGTTGTTCTGGGTGACAACTCTGATATTGTCTCCCTGAGGAGTTGCCCAGGACTTAGTTTTTTTCCCCCCCTCCCTCCACCCGCACTGTCTAGGACACTCCTTTCTTTAGCCTGCCCTAGATTCCAAGATTCCTAATTACTATCCAGAGCTGTCTACACTCTTTCATTAAAGTCAACATTGCTTTGATTCTTCCAGATCCCTGCCAAGGGCACCTACAATGCCTGGCCAGTGTCCTTCATTTCTCCCATACCCCTCAACCTTTCTGCAACTTGGCAGCCTGTCCTGAAGAAAGAATGTCTGCCTTTTCATTCTGTTCCACTCACTGACTCCTTCTTTCCTTCTTCACTCCTTCCTTCCCTTTCTACCTTTCTCTTTTATTCCAGCTAACATTGCTAGCAGCTAAGAGTATGCCGAGCACTGTGTTGCCCGCAGAAATGACAAAGATATGAAATGCCTTCATAGATGTCTCTGTGAAGTGCAAGAGAACCCAGTTGCAAGATCATTAAAGACAGTCAGGAGCAATAGAATAGGAGGGAGAGCACCTGCCTTGCATGTTCTGACCCACGTTTAATCCCCAGCAACCCAGATGGTTCCCTGAGCTCAACCAGTTGTGATCCCTGAGTACAGAGCCAGGAGTAAGCCCTGAGTACAGCCAGGTGTGTCCACCCCGCAAAAATAAAAGAAAAAGAAAACCAAAGATCATCAAAAAGGTGAGATATTGGGGCTGGAACAACAATACAGTGAGTAAGACACTCTTCCTACATGCAGCCGACCCATGTTTGATCCCAGCATCCTAGATAGTTCCCTGAGCTTGCCAGGAGTAATTCCTGAGGCAGAGCCAGGAGAAACCCCTGAGCACTGCTGTGTGTGACCAAAAAAAAAAAACAAAGAAAAAATTAAAGTGAGATATTCAAATGAGCAAAATTGCAGAAATGATTAGCCCTTTAACTTCTAGTTTCCTCACCTATGAAATGGATATGTTGTCCTTTTCATAGGGTTGTTGTGAAGATTTGATGAAATTATATAGGGCAAATGCCTAGCACAGTGTTTAGCATATAAAAAGCATTTATGGAACTGTAGAGATAGTACAGTGGGTAGGGCATTTGCCTTGCATGTGTCTGACCCAAGTTTCATCCCCATCACCCCATTTAGTCCCACAATCCCTGACAGGAGTGATTCTCTGAACACAGAGCCAGGAGTAAACTGGCTTCTATTTGTTGCTGTGTTTGTTGCAATGTCTAGGGGGTCACAGAGACTTGGTGGTGCTGCCTGCCAGGGGTTGCATTCGTATGGAGCTTGCACACACACCTAGATGTGTACCAGAGAACTCACACTTTGTCACAGCACCGGGGGTCCCAGACAACAGCTGCCAAAACTGAGCCAAGTCATGTATATGTCCTGTTGAACGCAAGGAATGGAACTTTTGGTCTCATGCTTGCAAGACAGGTGGTCAGAGCCCCTGAACCGTTCCTGGGCACCTGGCCACAGACTTTTGCATCTCTAACCCTGCTTCAATTTGCTTCCCTGTAAACAGCAATACTTTCTATATGGGGCATTCCTTCCTTTTTAACTCCTGTAGAATAAGCCACGGAGGAGAAAGAGATATCTAAGCCTATCTCGGAACGAACACTAGACATTCATTCTTCCTTTTATGTAAACATGGAGTCCAAGGCAGAGGCCCAACCATTGGCTTAGAAGCTGTCCTTACGTGTATGTTTGCCAAAGCTGTGTGTGTTGAGGGTAACATTAAGGCCTCATGACTCCAGACTGGTGCTGGCTGAGGCTGACTGCTACAATACTCTTTCTCACTAACGGATAGGATCTCACATCCCTGAGGTTTCTCACAGAAGCAATATGTTCCATGGTCCAGCCAAGTCAGCAACAAAACATTATATTCAATAGCTCTGAGAATAGCTTGGGGATAAAAAATATATATAAAGAGCTGGGAGATACTCAAAGGTCTGAAGTTTTGCTTTACATGAAAGAGATCTGCTTTCCTGCCAAGAGTGCCCCCACTGCCCACAATACTGTGATCATTTTCAAAGTTTACTATTTGGGGTGGAATGAGAAAATATACACAAGAATTCCCAGCCCAGTTGCTCAAGACAAACATCTTAGTTCCGGGCTTGGGGGATAGAGCAAAGAGCTAGCGCTCATCCTCTGTCTGTGGGGTTAGTGCCCTTTACCATGTGGTTCCCAACCAGGAGAAACTTCTGAATACTGAGCCAAGAGTAGCCCTTGAACACTGTCAGGTGGGTCCCTGAAGTAGCACTGTAGCACTGTCCTACCGTTCATCGATTTGCTCAAGCGGGCACCAGTAATGTCTCACAACAAATTGTGAGACTTGTTACTGTTTTTTTTTTTTTGCATATTGAATACGTCACAGGTAGC